CTCCCCATTGGCCTAGTGAAAACTTTCTTAGACTACCTTGCACTCTAAGATGCTTTCTATTGAAACTTCCTTTTTCCCCCCTCTCTCCATCACTATCTACCAGCTCTCCCCCTAGCTCTGGCTTCCTCTCCATTTTCCCTCACAGTTGTTCCCCTACCCCCCCCCAAAAAAATCTTTTGCCCATCTAATCTGATCTTGGAATCTGCTTGGAGGATCCTAAGTAACACAGTGGTTAAGTGTATGGGTTTCAAAGGATTCTCTAGATAGGTCACTAAGAATGAAAAGAGAGAGGCGCCTGGGTGGCTTAGTCGTTAAGCGTCTGCCTTTGGCTCAGGTCATGACCCCGGGGTCCTAGGATTGAGCTCCACATCGGGCTTCCTGCTCTGTGGGAAACCTGCTTCTCCCTCTCCCACTCCCCCTGCTTGTGTTCCCTCTCTCGCTGTGTCTCTCTCTGTCAAATAAATAAAATCTTTAAAAAAAAAGAATGAAAAGAGAAATAATTATGTGCTCAAAGATTTAGGATATATTTAGGATTAGGACTTGGCTCAAGGATATAAGTGATGACAACTTAAATGGTATATGAGGCCAGGAGAAGGAATATGTTCCTAGGAAGGCCTAAAGGATTCACCATTCACCGAGGGTGTTAGAAATGATCTGGTCAGGGGGCCCCAGCATCACTATGAAGTATAGTGTGGCTCTCCTCCGTAGGCCAGAGTTAGTGGCAAGAGAAGTGGTTATAGCATTTGGCTCACTGATAGCAGTGAGGATAAGAGGGCCCTGGTGGTAGCATTTCACCATCAGAAGCCAGAGGGTCACAGTGTCCACAGTTATGGGAGGCTAACAGAACACAGTGTCTCGAGGGACAGCCAAAACACACTGCTTAACATACATAGTCAAAATAGAGCAAGAGTGGATGAATGGGAGGTTGAAGGAAGTTACCCCAAAAGTCTCTTGCCCAGTTTCTGGACCTGAAATACTTTTCAGTTTTCAGACCTGGCACTCATTCACTGATGAGATAATTGGATCTGAGGGAGAAGGGCCCTGTAATACATAATGATTTCCCCAGTGCTTCCCCAAAGGGATCTAGGCCATGTACTTGGGTGACTGTTCACTGGGGAAAGGAATACATTCAGACATTTCCAGCACTGTTGGAAACAGGGTCCAAGTTGGCACTGATATGACCCAAAACTTATCACAGGCTCTCTATTACAGTGAGGACATACATACAAGGGCCAGGTGATAAATAGAGTCTTAGTCAAAGTCTGGGTCCACTAGTTCTGTGAACTCACCTGTACTCATTTTCCTAGTCCTCCAACATATAATTGGGATTGGCATATGTGTGATTGGAGTAACCCATACTTTGGACCTGTTGGTGAGAGCTATCATACTGTGGAAGGACAAGCAGGAACCCTCTGAAACTGTCTCCCTCCCACCGAGATATTGAAGCAAAAACGGTGTGGCCCTGGAGAAGGATGGCAGAGATTAGTGCCACTATTAAAGATGCAGGTGTGGTGGTCCCTAGCATACCTCTGTTTAATTTGCTGGTCTGGTCCTTGCAGAAACCAGATGGATCCTGGAGACTATTGCTAGCTCAACCAAGAAATAGCCCTGATCACAGCTGCCCAGCCAGATGTAGTTTCTTTGTGAGGGTAGATAATATAGTCTCTGGTATGTAGTATGCAGCCATTGGGTTGGTGAATGTATACTCTTCTATCCTAGTCAGGAAAGAAGATCAGAGAGATTTTGCTCCAGGGCTGTGTTAACTTTCCCACCATCTGTCATAATGTAGCCTGAAGACATCTGGACCATCTGGACATATCACAGAATATCCTACTGATTCATTACATTGATGACATCAAGATGATCTGGCAGATGAATAAGTAAGAGGGTACTAGTGTGCTGGAGAATTGGTAAGACACATGTACTCCAAAGGGAGGGAGACAGACTACAAAAATTCAGGTACTTGCCAACTTAGTAAAGTTTCTGCACATCCCATAGTCAAGTGAACGCCAGGGCACTCCCTTCAAAGTAAAGGGCAAATTGCTGTATCATGCAGCCACTATTACAGTGAAGGAAGTACAATGACTGTTAGGCCTTCTTTTTTTCCCTAGATTTTATTTATTTGAGAGAGAGAGAATAAGAGAGAAAGCACGAGAGGGGGTAGGGTCAGAGGGAGAAGCAGACTCCTGCTAAGTGGAGAGCCTGATGTGGGGCTCGATCCTGGGGCTCAGGATCATGACCTGAGCCGAAGGCAGATGTTAACTGACTGAGCCACCCAGGCGCCCCAACTGTTAGGCCTTCTTGGGCTTTGGAGAAAACAGTCCTAGCTGTAGAGCAAGTAGCCCTCCTGTTTAGAACAAATGATCTCAGCACACCCCATGGTATTTGAGATGTTAATGGTAGAAAAGGAGATGGTGTGAAGTTTACGACGAGTCCCAGGGGAAGAATCACAACCCAGGCTCCTAGGGTTATGGAGCAAGGTTACACTATCTGCAGCAGAGGGTTATGCACCTTTTGTAAAACAGCTCCTAGTTAGGTGCTCTGACAGAGCTGGAACACTTGACTTTGGGATACCAAGCACAAGTTTGGAACTGTCCACCATCTGTTGGGAATAAGTCGTAAAGTAAGATGGGCCCTGTAGCAATCCATCATAAGATGGACATGGTACATCTGAGACTGAGTATAAGCAGGAAGAAATGACACTGCAAGGGGCATGAAGACTGGGTTTAAAACCTCATGGTATCTACTGTGTCCTATCATGGCATCCACTATTAGCAGTGTCCCTTCTGAGCTCATACCAGTGACCAAAGGGACCTCCCACTCAATCAGCTGAGGAAGGAGGAACCGCCCCCTCCCCCTGACAGCTTGGTTTATGGATGGGTTGATTTGGTATTAGGTGAAAACCAAAAGTAGATGCTCTCTGCATTATATAACTTATTCAGTGTGGTTGTGAAAAATAATAATGAGACAATTTGTGAAAGATAGATCTTCCCAATGTGCAGAGCTTCAGAAGATGCATCTGGTCATCCACTTCGTATAAAAGGGAAAGTGGCCTAAAGTCAAAACACATATGGGCTCTCGCCAATAAGAAATGGTCTGGGTCCTGGAAGGAGAAAAATTCAAATATCAGAGATGAGGAAGTCTGGAATAGAGACATGTAGACAGACATATGAGAGTGAGAACAAGGTGTGAAGATTGTTACATTGTATTTTTTTTTTAAAGATTTATTTATTTGGGCGCCTGCGTGGCTCAGTTGGTTAAGCGACTGCCTTCGGCTCAGGTCATGATCCTGGAGTCCCAGGATCGAGTCCCGCATCGGGCTCCCTGCTCGGCAGGGAGTCTGCTTCTCCCTCTGACCCTCCTCCCTCTCATGCTCTCTGTCTCTCATTCTCTCTGTCTCAAATAAATAAACAAAATCTTAAAAAAAAAAAAAGATTTATTTATTTGACAGAGAGAGACAGCGAGAGAGGGAACACAAGCAGGGGGAGAGGGAGAGGGAGAAGCAGGCTTCCCGCCGAGCAGGGAGCCTGATGCGGGGCTCGACCCCAGGACCCTGGGATCATGACCTGAGCCAAAGGCAGTTGCTTAACGACTGAGCCACCCAGGTGCCCCGTGTTACATTGTATTTTATTTAAATTTTTTTTAGATTTTTTTTTTTATTTATGTATTTGAGAGAGAGACACACAGCGAGAGAGGGAACACAAGCGGGGGGAGTGGGAGAGGGAGAAGCAGGCTTCCTGCCAAGCAGGGAGCCCGATGTGGGGCTCGATCCCAGAACCCTGGGATCATGACCTGAGCTGAAGGCAGACGCTTAACGACTGAGCCACCCAGGTGCCCCTACATTGTATTTTAATACCCATCAGAAAGCGTCCACGTGGTCGGAACCAAATGACCAAGCAGACAAAGTAACGACTAGATGACATCCATTGGCATGATAAGGCAAACAGATGACATGATCACAGTGAAAGAAATGGAGGCTTTGCATTGGTCAGAAAAACATGACTTCCACTTATGAAAGCCAATCTAGTTATTGCCTGCTTTGAGTGATCAACCTACCAGCAACAGACACCAACACTGAGCCACCAGTATGGCACTATTCCTTAAGGAGACTAACTGGTGGGGCACCTGGGTGGCTCAGTCGTTACGCGTCTGCCTTCAGCTCAGGTCATGATCCCAGGGTCCTGGGATCGAGCCCCGCACCAGGCTCCCTGCTTGGCCGGGAGCCTGCTTCTCCCTCTCTTACTCCCCCTGCTTGTGTTCCCTCTCTCGCTATGTCTCTCTCTGTCAAATAAATAAACAAAATCTTTAAAAAAAAAAAAAAAGGAGACTAACTGGTCACTTGGCAGCAAATGGACTACTTGGGACCATTTTCATCCTGGAAGAGGCAGCGGTTTTTCTCATAGGAATAGAAACTTAATCTGGGTATGGGTTTGCCTTTCCTGCCAGCATGATCAAGCCACTTACAGAATGCCTGATCTACAGACATGAAACAATATAGTATCTAATCACGGAACTCATTTTACAGATCCACTGGTCATGTCATACACTGTGTCATCCCGAAGCTGCTGGCGGTCCTGATCTTCAAAATGAAGTATGTTCTTGTCATGAGATAGCAAAGATCTCATTGAACTATAAGCTACAGCTGCCACTTGGACACTTTGGGCTCTTTGTGCCCAGAAAGTAGCAGGCAAGAAGAGCAATCACCACCTTGTCAGGGGTGATTAACACTCATCAGCGGGAGGAGGCAGGGCTGTGTTACATGGTGGGAGCGGGGAGGAATGTGCATTGAACTCTGGTGACCCACTGGATGCCTCCTGGTACACTCTTGCCTAATTGTGACAAATGTAATGATGTAGTAATGGAGGCTATACACGGGTAAGGTCACCAGGAGTTCAGACTCCTCAGGAATGAGAGTTTGGGAAACACCACCACGTGAGCCCCACTAAGGTCAGCAGAGTGAGGGACTTTAGAACAGACGGTGGAGGAGAGAGATGATGAGTACCAGTTTTGGCCATGAGACTGACCACAGCAGTGGAGGCTACAGTTTGTCTCTTCACCTCCCTCTTCTAAATTTCCCCTCAGGAAGAGGGGCCGACCAGAGCCCTGGAGGAGCTGCTCCCCAAATATGTTATGAAGTGGATCTACAGAGCACACAAGGTAAACTGTGGCAGATGTGGAGATGTGGCAATCAGATCATCCTTTAAGAAAGGGCTTGCTCTGGGGTGCTTGGGTGGTACAGTCGGTTAAGTGTCTGACTCTTGGTTTTGGCTCAGATTGTGATCTAGGGGTCATGGGATCAAGCCCCACATCAGGCTCCACACTCAGTGGGGAGTCTCACTGAGATTCTCTCTCCTCTCCCTCTGTCCCTCCCACTCATGCTCTCTCTTTAAAATAAATAAATAAATCTTAAATTTAAAAAAAAGATTCACTCCACATCTGCAAGGAATGTGGTTAGCTGAGTCTCCAGCTGTTTGTGTCTTCAGAGTCAACTTCAGGTTATCATCCTATGCGTTTCTCAGGGTGGTCCCCAGTCAATGACTGGGCAAGGCCTAATCATTTCTACTCAATGGGGGAACTTCTTTAAGGAAAAATCTTTGCTCTGGAGCTCCCTATTAGGATAGTCTGCCCAATCCTGCTTCTGCCCTTTTTCTTTTACAGGTGTTAACCCCTCATGAACTTTTGCATTTTGACTTCTTTTTAGTGTCTGCTTCTGAGAGAACCTAATTGGGACAGATGCATGCATTAGGCCCCTGAACTCCATTCATTCATTCCCTGTTCCCCGTCCTGGGATGTGTGACTAAGTAATCAGAACTGCTGTTTTCTCACGTGTAATATTAAAGATTTACTCCTTTCACAAGTACATTATATGATTGTTGTGAGGATAAAATAAATATGTGCTGGAAAATCCTATGTAATTTGAAAACTCCTATGTAAATGGTTACAGTTTTTATTAAAGGCCTATAGAGTTAAAGCGTTTCCCAGAGTACCTAACAATTCTCAATAGTTAAAAAAACATTCACAAAGAAAATTATTTTCAAGTCTTTTCAAGCTGGTAAGGTGTATGTGGTTTTCTATGGTGTTACTTATTCCTAAGGACTAATTTTTACACTCAGAGATCTTGCTTGACAATCAGATACATACCTAGATAAAGAATTGTAGAGTACTACAGTAACCTGCCATGGGAATTTTGGTTTGTTTCTTTTCATTTCTAGGATAACAATTACTAAGACAGAGGAAATGAGAAACATTGAACAACCCTTTTGACAAAACACAGCGGTCAGAGTCTTTGGGGAAAAATACTTAAAACCTGTGTGACCATGAAACAATTTTTTCTAGCACTATTGTGATAAGACATAATTTAGTATCTGTGGATAGATATTGCAAGTTTTAATGTATATGTAAGTAAAAATATTTCCTATAAATATATTCTTTTAGTGCTCATTCTTGGTATTCAAAGTTATCTATAATGTATTACAAGAAGACAGCTAGTGATCATGTCATCACTTTTTATCAGAAAAACTTTTAGCGGTAGCTTTTTAGCAGAAAAGACAGGTAAGTTTTCCGTGATAAGATATCGTTTGCTTAGCTGGTGATACAGATTTCGAAAGTTGTATCTCTGATTTGCATTTGAGTGTTGGCACAAGTTCAGTTACAAGCTTTGAAAATTTGTGGTTCCACATAAAGAATTGTAAAAAAAAAAAAATTTAAAAACCTGTCCTTTTACCTTTTTGCTCATCCTGCCCAAAGTAATTTATTTTTTTTCTGGTCCAAGCAGATCTACAGTCTACAATGTCCATCTGAGCGACAGGGCAAAAATTTTTGGCTGTTTATTCCGACGTCAGTGTACTCAAGTAAGTGTAGCTGACAATGCACCTTTAATCCAAATGGTTTTGCATAATTTGAGAAATATGGACAAAGGTAAAAGAATAGGGGCGCCTGGGTGTCTCAGCTGGTTAAGCGACTGCCTTTAGCTCAGGTCATGATCCCGGAGTCCTGCATCAGGCTCCCAACTCAGCAGGGAGTCTGCTTCTCCCTCTGACCCTCTCCTCTCTCATACTCCCTCTTTCTCTCAAATAAATAAGTAAAATCTTAAAAAAAAAACAACCTAAAAGTAAAAGAATAATTCCCATTGTACTTTATTGTGGATGCAGAATACCTGCACTGTGAATTGGGAGCTAATAGGAAAGCGAATGCCAATAATATAAACTAGATTATAGGGCAATTTAAAAAATGTGTTTCATCATAGTTCAGTATAAATAACAGAATTCTTCAAATTTACATGATTTTTTTTCTATGTGCATTCTGGGCTCTCTGATAATTGAATACAACTTCAAAAGGGGTTAAGCCAGTGACCTCAAAACGAAGTTCCCAGAACAGTACACAATGATGAAACCTGAAGCAATAAAGCGCCGCTGAACTGAAATGTAAACATTCATACTATTAGGACATGACTCAATTTTCACTTGATTTAATTTTGTTTTGGAGTGCTATTGGGCTGTCTTCGGACACCTCCCTTTCATATCTTAAATTGTGTCACAAGGGTGTTAGAGAATTCAACAGTCTGGGACATCCCAATAACGTTTAGTACATAGTTCGTGTTATGTTACAGAGCACTTTTCCGAATATAGGCGTTACCTATAGCGACTCCCCCCGGGCGAAAGGAGGCACATTTACATTTCAGGGTCCCTTTGATTGGCTGGAGTTGGAAAAATCTCAATTCCTACACTTTTTTCCCCCAGGAAGCTCAGAGGCCATTTGTCCCGCAAAGCACACGTACCACGCTCACCGTCTTCCGAACCGGCAGCCTGCGAAGAGCCTGCCCAAGCCGCTGGGAAAGGAGGCTGCGCGGAAGGAAGGAGTCCGGCCCGCGGCCGTTCGCGGGCGGGGGACGGGGGACGGGGAGGGGCGGTGCCGGCGCGCGCGCGCGCGGGGTGTGCGCGCCGCCGCCGCCGCCGCGTCACCAGCGTGCGGCACGTGCCCGTGTTTACGTCCCTCGTGGAGCAGCCTACGTCAGCAGCCAAATGGCAACATTGTGGCGCTACTGAGGGTTACAGTTTAGGAGACGCGTCTATCCGTCAGGCCGGCTCCGGGCGGTCGGGAAGAGGAGGAGAAGGAGGAGGGGCGGGGAGATCGGCCCCGACGAGCGGCGGAGACGCACACATCGCCGGCCCCTACTGCCTAACCGGCCTGCCCGGCCCCGCGGGACCCGCTCCTCACCTTCCAAGAGCCACAGACGCAGCACCGCGGCCTCGCGCTGGGGGCGGCCGGGACGGGCGCGAGGCGCTGCCGCAGCACTGGGCTTGTAAACAGATTCAGCCGCACGTGACCATGTGAACTACCTGCTCCGGGGACGCGTATTGTCTTTCCCGCGAGCCGCGCCACAAAGGAGCGCGGCGGGTTCAAGTGAGGAGGGCCGGGCGAGTAAGCGGGGAGAGCCGGCTGGCGCGCTAAGATGGCCGAAGGCGCTCAGCGAGGGTGAGCGGGGGGCGCGGTGCAGCCAGCCGGTGAGTCTTCGAGCGGGCAGGGCCGGCGGCGCTTTCCCCGCGGCCTGGCACCGGAGCCACCATGTCGTTCGCGCTGGAGGAGACGCTCGAGTCGGACTGGGTGGCCGTGCGGCCCCATGTGTTCGACGAGCGCGAGAAGCACAAGTTCGTCTTCATTGTGGCCTGGAACGAGATTGAGGGCAAGTTTGCCATAACCTGCCACAACCGGACGGCCCAGAGGCAGAGGAGCGGCTCCCGGGAGCAGGCGGGGGCACGAGGGGGCGCTGAGCCCGGAGCACCCGCGTTGGACGGGACCCGCGGGCCAGGCAGCCCAGCGGGCAAGGGCCGGCCCGAGGCCACTGCCTCTGCGACTCTGGGTAGGAGCCCGGGGCCCCGGAGGAGCCCGGCCTGGGGGGAGGGCGGCTCTCCGCGGAGCGCGCGCAGCCTTCGGGGGGACCCGCTGCTGCGGTGTCCCGCCGGCAAAGGGGCGGAGAGCCCCCTCAGGAGCCCAGTGCGGGCCAAGACCAGCCCGGTTCGAAGGAGATCTGAAGGCAAAGATGTGGCGGGGGCCGCTACAGCAGCAGCCCCGCCGGCGTCCAGGGAGGCCCCGGTGTCCTCCGTGCGAGTAGTGAGCACTTGTGGGGCGGTTTCCGAGGAGATAGAGGTGCTGGAAATGTTGAGGGAGGACGAGGTGGCCCCGGCGGCCCTGGCGCTCTCAGACACAGAGCAGCCGCCTTCCACTACCGAGCTGGAGTCCCCGGCCGAGGAGTGTAGCTGGGCCGGGCTCTTCTCCTTCCAGGATCTGCGTGCTGTGCACCAGCAGCTGTGTTCTGTGAACTCGCAGCTGGAACAGTGCCTGCCCGTATTCCCCGAGGAGCCCTCCGGCATGTGGACCGTGCTGTTCGGGGGCGCTCCAGAGATGACCGAGCAGGAGATCGACACTCTATGTTACCAGCTCCAGGTCTACCTGGGCCATGGCCTGGACACCTGCGGCTGGAAGATCCTCTCCCAGGTACTTTTCACTGAGACCGACGATCCCGAGGAGTATTACGAAAGTCTTAGCGAGCTGCGGCAGAAGGGCTACGAAGAAGTGCTTCAGCGGGCCAGGAAGCGCATCCAGGAGGTAAGAACCTAGTCTGGGCTCCAGTCATTGCTTTTGGGTACTCACTGCCGGAGGCTGGAGCCTCAGTCCGGGCTGTGACAATTTGGGAGACTTTTTCTTCTGGACAGGAAGAGCGGAAGAAGATGGGTTCCTTACCAGTCAGCTCCTTAATTCCTTTCAGTGGTGGGAGAACCGTGGCTTTTCTTAATTGGCCCTCTGAAGGAACTTTAAGTCTTTAGATTTCCTCTTCCCATTCATCAAATAGGTTCTGTATAATAAGTGGTGTGTGTACTACTCAGTGCTGCAAGTAAGATTAAAGCCACTCAGAAAAAAGGCGACCCAGCATTCGTTTCTCTTTTGCCTTTCCACCAATAACTTTCCAGATAATTAACCCTACTTTTCTGATGTCCTGTTCATTTACTTAAAATATATTTGTCGCAGGGAATACAGTTGGTCTTTTTTTAAATCTCCGTTTGTAGTTTGGCAACTTAGGCAAATTTTAAATTCTATTTTCCTTCAAATGAGTAGACTGTCCAAATCAAAAAGCACCATAAGAATGTATTTTTTAAAGGCGTATGCATAATCTCGAGTCTTTATAGCTGGCTGATGTTTAACTCTTGTTTTAGGGAGAAAAAAAGGTCTTGGGCAGGAATGTTTATTATACTTTGTACTTGTAAAAGTAGTACAAAGCATTTTCAAACTACTTTATACTTAAAATTACAGGAAATAATGGAAGAGGTCTGCATGGGTATATATGAGGAGGTCCATGGTTTGTAGGATATACATAATTTGAGGTCATGCCTACCCAACAGCTTCTGCTGAAAGAACTGTATCCAAAAAAAAAAGTATTTTAAAATATAGTTTAGTTTTTGGGTCACCTGGCTGGCTCAGTCAATAAACCCTGCAACTCTTGATCTTGGGGTTGTGGATTTGAGCCCCATGTTGGGTGTAGAGATTACTTAAAAAATCTTTAAAAATATATATATACTTTAGTTTTCCTAATGGGCACGAACAGATAACTTCCTCAAAGCTATTATTTTTAGTATTAGTACCAGTTGAGGTTAGAGGTGGCGTCGGGAAATGCCCCTTTTTATGGTGTTTATATTCCTGACATTGTGTTGTCATCTGTTAACCTTGCCTGTGTTTATAAAAGACTCGAATCCTACTATTAAGGCTAGGAAGCTCGTACCTCCTTGTTTCTGCATGGAATCGCCTGTATTTTTCATTGCTAGATTTGGGGCATAAGGAATTTTTTTTTTCCTTACTTAACCCACAGTGCTCTCCTACAACTTCCTGAATCCAGGTTTTCACTCATTCCTGTTAGTTTACTTTGTACTAAGCAGCACCCACCTGGTAATGCTGTCCTAGAATCCTAGGGATGTTTTTATTTCCCTCTTTTCTTTTTATTTTTTTTAAGATTTTATTTATTTGATAAAGCGCTTGTGTCCATGCATGAGTGGGGGGGGACGGGGCGGGGGGGGGGGGGAGAAGCAGACTCCCTACTGAGCAGGGAGCCCCGCACAGGCTCCCAGCACTCTGGGATCATGACCTGAGCGGAAGGCAGACGCTTAACCGACTGAGCCACCCAGGCGCCCCTGATTCCCTCTTTATCATCTACTTTTGGAATCTGTGTTCTACCTTAATTCTTTTTGGAAGGAAGTGATAAATTTTAAATGGTCACATATATTCTTTTTAGAGTTTTGTTAATATTGACCTGTATTTCTTTTAAATGGTGTGGACAAAATTAATATTTCTTTCTCATACTTTCTTGTTAAACTTTGTATATATATATTTTAAGGTTTTTATTTATTAGCAAGAGAGTGCACACGAGCTGGCAGGCTGTGGGCAGAGGCAGAAGCAGACTCTGTGCTGAACAGGGAGTCTGACCGGCCTCAATCCCAGGACCCCGAGCCAAAGTCAGGTGCTTAACCAACTGAGCCACCCAGGCGCCCCTAAACTTTGTATTTCTTGTATCTCTAAATGACGTAGACTTGTTTAGTTTTAATTTTATTGGTACTCGAAAAAGTAATTTTGTCTGGTTTCATTCAAATAGGGTCAAAAATACAGTTAATTACAATTTTCTGGAACTCTTTCATGGGGGTGGAGGGTTACAGTTTTAAAAGAATATCTTTTCCTAATTAAGGTTATATTGACCATGATGTTGCGTTCTCTTTAACAGAGAAATTTAAAGTTTTAAAGAGTATTTTGTGTTCTGGAAGGCAACTCAAATGAAGTTTATTATAAATTCATTGCACATTAAATATATAAATTTTTGGTGCTTCATTTAGTTGATTTGAACAGTATTTGAAAAATAATTACCATGACAACAAATAGACTCAGTTATAATGCTCACCCTGATATTTACTGGAAGTTTATATTGAAAGAAATGAAGCTCAGTAGGGAGATAGGGGTGTGATTAATTAGTGACTTCTGGTGTAGGCTTGATAATGGGAGTGTAAGAGGATGGCAGCCATTTTTTTTGTTTTTTTTCTTAGCTGCTTAAAATAGTTTGCAGTAACTTTCTTTAGAGAAAATATAGAAATTGTGTCATTTTTGTATTACTGATTTTGTTAAATTTAGTAATTACATCTAATTTAATGATTTTTTTGTTCCCAATTGTGTGGGAGTGGTTATAAAGGTGTTCAAGCCAGGTATATCTGGTAAATCAAACACATTCTTAGGTATAGGTTATTTAGAAAATTTAGACTTTTGAGTTTTTTTTTTTCTTTAATTTATCTGGATCTGTTTTCTGCTTTTTTTTCCTCTCAGTATTCCATTTCCTATCTATTTAAAGCCTTCAGCTTAAAGGCCACACCTGTTTTTGTTCAAAATGGTCAGTAAATTGTGGAAAGGAGGTGTTTTGTTTTGTTTTGTTTTTAGTAGAACAGACTGTGCAAGTAGACTGTAAACTTCTCAAGGTCATTGGCCTTGACAGTATCTTGGAATTCTCTTTGCCATCCCTAGTTCAGGGTCACACATCTTGTGAGCACTCTTAATATTTGTGGACCAAGGACATAAGAGGTGTTCTTGTTTTTGTTGTTGTTGTTGCTTTTTAGTATTACAAGAATTCAAAGGATTTGGAAGAAGGATCTTTTTGAGTTAAAGCTCTGGGTAAATAAAATTTTATATATTGATAGATGTAAATTCCACATAAGGGACCATGCTGGTTAGAAACAGAGTAAAATCTTTTAAAACTAAATAGCTTTCTAAATAAGAGGTCTTTATCTGGGGTTCGTGAATTCCCTCTAAATTGAGGGGAGCTATAGATGGACTTTAATGGGGTGCCGTAAAGTAGCATGCTAAGTTTTATATGATTTGCATTTTTGGAGAGAGGCTTTTATCAAATTCTTTAAGGTGTTCTTCAGAAAGAGCTTTAAAACCATAATTGTAAATCATTTGCTTTTTAAGCTTTGGCATAACTTCTATTGGAGTTAAAGTTTTAGAATATACTTAAGATTTAATATGGGGTTATAAGAAGTACTTTTTTTTTTTTTTAAGATTTTATTTTTATTTATTTGACAGAGAGAGACACAGCGAGAGAGGGAACACAAGCAGAGGGAGTGGGAGAGGGAGAAGCAGGCTTCCCGCCGAGCAGGGAGCCTGATGCGGGGCTCGATCCCAGGACCCTGGGATTGTGACCTGAGCCGAAGGCAGACGCTTAACGACTGAGCCACCCAGGTGCCCCAAGAAGTACTTCTGTATCTTTGTGAAATATTGAAGAATAGAACACTAAGTTGTCTACTAAACGTTTTTGTTAATGAATCACAAATTTGGTCAGTTGACTGGAAATGATAGTTTGTGAGAAGCTATAATTTATATAATACTAATGAGAAATTTTTATTTAGTTTTAAAGATTTATTTATTCATTTTGAGAGAGGGAGGGGGGAGGGGCAGGAGAGAATCTTGCAAGCAGACTTCCTGCTGAGCCAGGAGCCTGACACGGGGCTGGATCCCACAACCCATGAGATAATAACCTGAGCTGAAACCAAGAGTCAGATGCTTAACCGACTGAGCCACCCAGGTGCCCCACTAACGAAACACTTTCAGATAACATAGGAATTGTAAGGTTGTGTGCTACTTAGGGCCTTAATCTTAAATAAAATTTGAAATTTATTACATGGTAGGCTTGTTTTTGACTTTTACAAGGGTTTGCTGTAAGGAGTGCTATTTATATAGAAGGCACCCAATCTGTGTATGAATCAAGTGCCAGCGAGGCCCCTTGGGATGGTTTCAGCAATAGTCTTAGTTGTTGGTCAGAGCTGAGGATCATATTATAGTGTATGTGCATGGGTGACCCATACCTTACTTACCTTTGATGACCTGGAGTTTGTAAATAGTGGTTTTTGTATAAGGACAACTATTGTTGAGATAGTTGTGGTCCTTTAGATAGTGAACCTTAACTATGATGGTAGGCTTGATTAGGATCTAAAATAGTGTTCTCTTTGGAGAAGAGATTATGTGTATACAATTGCTCAGCTAACTTCTTTCCAGTTGATTTTAACTTCTAGTGAAACAAACAAAAGAGCAGCATGTGTTTTTGTAAGTAGCCATGTAAGGCATGCTATAGACAGAGCCTGCCTAGTGCTTGGAGTCAGAAAGACCTGGCTTCCAAATAGAACTCAACACTTCTGTGACCTGCTTAGTTAAGCTTTTTAAAACAGGTAAATGGGGAAGATACTTAAGGATATCTTAAGATTTAATATCCTTTGTATTTTTTTTTTTAAGATTTTATTTATTTATTTGAGAGAGAGACAATGAGAGAGAATACATGAGGGGGGGAGAGTTAGAGGGGGAAACAGACTCCCTGCTCAGCAGGGAGCCCGATGTGGGGCTCGATCCTGGGACTCCAGGATCATGACCTGAGCCGAAGGCAGTCGCCCAACCAACTGAGCCACCCAGGCGCCCCTCCTTTGTATCTTAAAATGACTCAGCTGTAAATAACGCCTGACTTCTGAGGTTATTTAACATAAGGGGCAGAGAGCTCTAGAAAGAATGCTTATCATCTCTCCAACCAATTATGA